TGAATCCAGGATTTATCGGTCTCACGCGTGAACGCCTAACTTTTAGATCACTGAACTGGCCGTTAACCAATAGTATTAATGTTTAACTTCAACTAATCCACGAAATTGTGTGACACATTCACCATTGTCTTCAGTGAGTTACTATTTCACAATAGGACAAAACGGCCGTCCAGTGCTTTCAGATTTTCCATGGTGGTCTAGCTTCAATGGACTCATGATCTCAACCATATATGTATATATATCTGGTTCACACATTTATCCAATCTAATATTTATTGGGCTAAAATGTCCCAAATCTATTAAAAATGAATAACTGTTCATTATTATTATTATTATTATTATTATTATTATTATCATTAAAGGAACCTGTTAAGAATCGGGACATTTCATGCTTTCTAACCAACGAAAAAAATGCTCCACCTTAAATGATCTCTTCTGAAAAAATATGCAAATCCATTGTAATTATAGGTTAGAAAAAATAAAATAAAATAAATAAGGTAAATCTCGTTACCATAGTGATAATAAATGTCTACAATTTTCATTATGGATGACAAATAGATTCATTTAAAAACAATAAATGATAACTAATTGTTATTCATAATATTTACTTTCTGGTTACATTTTAAATGATTCTTATCTTAAGTTCAGTTATCCATGGGTGTTATAAAGAAATTTTTTGGCTAAAGAAATCACTTCTTCTTCTTCTTCTTCTTCTTGTTCTTCTTCTTCTGACCTTTACATGAATAAAGAAGTCATATAAGAGAAATAGTTTAAATGAAAAAGAATTTTATGGGGGAAAAGTTCATCATTAGTTAGTTTTTATAAAGTTAGAATGAGATTAGATGTTTTTAATCTTAAATCTATCCTCATTCAATGATCGATTAGAGAATAATTTACTAAGGATTGAGCCTTCAATTTTGTCTGAATGAATATAAGATTATAACGGAAAGGAACTTGATCCGAACCAAAAGCCTACCTAATAAACTGAAGATAAGGTTTTGCACTCACGAAACCAATTTCTGTAAAATATAAAAGATTTAGATTTAACTTGCTAACGTACTCCTGTTATCCCAGATCATTTGTGAAGTCCGAATCTACTAATGTATTCAGAGTTATCCATTGTGTTTCATGTTCCCTTTAAGATATCAAGGTTCTCATAATCCATTCAACTGTCAGAAGAAAGAGTAAGGGAGAGAGTAGGCAGTCTTGTCTAATTCCGGTCTTTACTTCGAACTTGTCTGTCAGTTGTCTTCTATGCATCACTTTGCAGTGTGGTCCAACGTATGAATTCCGTAATATATTGACGATCTTCTCAAGCACATCATAGTGTCGATAAAGTTTCCATGAAGTTCTCCTATCCACACTGTCGAATTCATTCTGATAGTCAATGAAGTTGATGTATAGTGACGAGTTCCGTTCAATTGATCGTTCACTAATTATCCGTAGTGTGGCAATTCCGTCTGTGCACGATTGATCCTTACGGAATCCATCCTTTTGATCTCGAAGTTGGGCATCTACTTTATATTTCATCCGCTTTAGTAACACTGTTGAAAACTATTCCTCATACTGATAGTAGTGTGATGTCTCTGTAATGAGTTCTCACAATAACTCAAACCTTTCTTTGGTACCCTGATGAGGTGTCCTTCTTTACAGTTTGTCATTGGCACTTGTTCCTCCTCACAAATCTTCCTCAATAGAATGTGGAGCGATTTAGCAGTTACTTCTATATCTGACTCCAGTGATTTGTTTGGTATATTGTCAGGTCCTACTGCCTTCCCACTCTTCATTTATCTGATAGCCATCCTGATTTCTTCGATCGTTCATCGAGTGCGCATCTATAGGAATGTCTGTAGGAGCCCCTTCGATGTCCAGTTAAGTCACTGGAGCTGGTTTATTCCAGAGTTCCCCAAATTGCACTATCCATCTGTTGCACTGTTCTTGAATCTCGGTTATTGGCTTGCTTTCTTTGTCCTTGACTGGTCTCCCTGATTTACCATATTTCCCCACTAATTTCTTCGTTGTGTCATATAGTTGTCCCATATTTCGTTCTCTTCAAGCTTTTTCCACTATCGTTGATAGCTCTCCCATGTATTTCTGCTTGTCGGCTCTAATCCTCTTCTTCACTTGCTTGCTTGCTATGCGTATTGAATCTGTGCATTTAATTTTTCTGTTCTTGTTCGACTGTTGTTAATTACGGTTTTCTCGTCCTTCCTTTCTTGAATCTTATCCAGGATTTTCGCAGAGATCCATTCCTTATGATGATACTTCATGCAGCCCAGAACTTACTGACACGTTGAAGTTGGTGCTTCTTTGATCGCTTTCCAATTGTCCTCCATAGTGGTTTCTTCTACTTTGAGTAGATCTTGTAAGGCTTAGAACCTATTGTTGAGAACTATGCTGAATTCGTTGAGTTTATCATTATCTCGAAGGAAAGATATATTGAACCTTCGTAATGCTGTTTCCCCAGTTGTCCAATGCTTCTCTAGTTTTAGTTTCATCTTGACCAGGCAATGATCCAAAGATATGTCAGCTCCTCTCCTGGTTCTCACATGTTCCAGTGACCTTCTGAATTTTTAATGATATAAATATGTTCGATCTGGTTCTCTGTCATATGATCTGGTGAGACCCATGTAATTTGTATATGTGTTTATATGGAAATATTGAGCCACATACAACCATTTTATTGAATGCACATAAGTTTGAAAATCTGTCACCATTCTCGTCCTTTTCTCTCAGGCAGTCCATGTCATCACATGAGTTTAGATCTCTCATCCGTTTGATCAGGTCCTTTCCTGAGCTACTATTTACACTGTAAGCGAAAAAAACGATATGTACATTGAAAGAATAGAATATACCAAGTTAGATAAAAAGAAACGATCATCAAGTGGTGAGATTAGATCACTTCCATTCTCGTTACTTCACAAATGTATCACATTTCTGGGTAGAATTTTATTTTAAAGTGTTGAATATAAATTAGACTATTCTCAGATATCAATTGAATAGTTACATCTAGTATGATTTGTCTCAAATTATTTAATATTTTATTGTGAGATTTCCAAATGCATAGCAACATTAACATATAATTCGTATGAGTCAAAATTTTTGAATGTATTTCCATCTTTATTTCTTCAGTGGGATAATGATGAAGAATAGACTAGGGCAAGACTATAACTTATGAACGAACCAATCACATATATGATAATAGGTCTCGGATTTTGGCGTGAAATTCATTCATACATTTGGCTAAATAGATTCATGGCATTATATCTGATGTAAGTTCGTGATGAAAACCCTAAATCTAATTCCTAACCCTAACCATCATCTGTAAATCATAGTTCTAATTCCTCACACAAGTTTAAAACTCATTTGGTCCTGGTTATCAGGTAGACACTTTCAAGGTCAGTCTGGTGTCGCTCATAAGTCGTCCAACAATTATAGTTTCACCGAGATTAGGTTTAAGAAATAATATACGATGTTTAAAACTATCGAAGCTTTTATCAGAGTTAATTTAGAAACGTATACGGTTCATATCTTCCTTATTTATAAACACAACTAAACAGAACTATTAATTTATACCGACGTCATAACTCTTCTAAATGAAGAGCTTCTAACTCCCAAGGCAGAGTTAAAATGGTTTGAATTGTTCTTCCTGTTTAGCGCTTTTTTTAGCGAGTTAGTTTTCTACATTTTGTGGTCGCTAACCTCATGCCCAACGTTCCTACTTTATCCGGGCTTGAGACCGCTAGTGGTTCAAGAGGGGTTCCCGCAGGATTTATTCATTTGTATTACCAATAAATAAACGTAGAACAATGAATGACTTATATGACGTTTTCTATGTTCATCATTAAAGCTTAAATTTGTCCTAATTAAAATGTTTGCAATCAAAATTAAATGTACAACTATCATATTTGAATAAATCTATGAAATGTCAAATTTCCAATGTGTCTACATTGTGAAAACATGATATTTTATTGAGATCGTGAAGATTCGTAACTCAAGTGGATGATTTCGATGGAGTTATGTTATCTGAGCTGAAGGATTTGGTCGTGGAGCTTCCATCATTCTTGTGAACGACATCATCAGCACAAACTTTAGGTAACAAACCATCCAGCTCAGAGAACAAAACCTCATCAAATGGTATTTTATTATTAAGTCGATAAGTCATATTAAATATCACATGATAATGAGATGGAATCCTAATATACTAGTATTTTAGATTAATTTTCTGTTGTGAGGCCCTTTATTTTAACGATAATTAGATCGTATAATGTTATCGACGGGTTAACCACTTAAATGGCCTGGGATCTGAGACTCCAGTAAGATCGGAAAAATGATCGTTATTGAATGATTGCTGTCGAAATATACATCCTGACTATTCTCATAGAAAATCATCGACTTAAATAGCGTTAGTGAATAACAGAAGTAAATAAGTCGAATATGTGAATGGATTTTTGAATACATATATCTTGTACACTCATTGGTCTGGAAAGACAATCGGAGGAATCAAGCGAAGATAAGAGAGTGAAGCGAAATGACGCGCTGTGCAGGAGGCATGTGAACCAACTCGATTTAATCATGCAATAATGGACATTTATAGCCAAACGAAAAATAAGCTACAGACATTTGATGAATAAAATAAGAAGTGCACACACACACGTACTCTTATATAAAAACAGCCTAAGTTGATGAGCGACTAATTAACAAGGTCAAAATGTGACTCCAAGATGGATGGATAAATTGACTTGTCCGGAAACTAGAATAAGTTATGTGGGTTTGGCATAGTAACTAACACTTCAATATGTGTGTATCTCTACATTATATTCGTTCAAAGGTGGATTTATTAATTTGTTAAATGTACAATAAATGACAATGGTGAATATAATACATTTACATTAACTATTACTATTGAACTAATCATCATTCGTATATGCCTTATAATATAAACACTAAAATACTGGATAAGTCACAATACCATTTTTTAAACTTGATTTGCCGGACATTATGAATCAAATAAGATGGTTATCTGTATTACATTCCAAGGAATACTTTATACTCATACTAAGTTTCATTACTTTTATTCCTTCATTTGTATCAGTAAATGAAATACATGAGTTAAATAGACAAACGAATGATTATCCATCGATTGAGAAAATATTCTCCAAAGTTAAAGAAGCTGAACAAATTAATTTATTGAATAATGAAATGAATAAAGTAGAACCTGATCAATTAATTGTAGCCCCAATGAGATTTAGTCGTCTACGACGTTATTTTAGACATCAAAAACGTATGATGAGAGCACAACTTAGAATGATGAGACTTCAAAGAAGATTGTACCGTCGACATTATCGTCCTCGATATGGATATGGTTATTTTCCATAATCATAAGGTTGAAACATTTAAACACCCCCCTTATCGATTTTTTATTGATTAAAACGATGAACTTTTTGAGTGTTTATCAATCAAATTGGTGAGTTATATTAATGAACTTCATTCTATTACAAATTTATTTCTTGTATGAAAACCGTCAAAGGAAATTTCACATCTACATTACTCTATGAAATATGATATGACAACCTTTTTAATTATCCCTATTTAATTGTTTCTATGTATTCATGAATTTACTTGAATAAATCTTAATAAGTTGTCATGGCTTTATTTTATTCATTTTTTAATTTTCTTCATACAAACTGTTTCTAGTAGCCTAGGTAAACAAATTTTATGAATAACCTTTGGGAACGTCTAATTATACAATGTTATTAATTGAATTCATGAGCCAATTAAAGCTAGACCATCAAGGAAAACCTAGAAACACTAGATGGCTGTTTCGTCCTAGAATGAGACTCCTCAACAGTACGCATCCGCGATTCCGACTCGCGAGATACGAATTCAGGACTTATTGGTTTCACGCGTGAACGCTTAACATCTGGACCATTGAGCTGACCATTATCTAACGGTTTTCATGTCTAAATTCAAATAATTTACGAAATTGTGTGACATACCCACCATTGTCTTCAGTGAGTTACTATCTCACAACAGACACGGTTGAAATCCACTGGTCCCTGCTACCCACAAGAACTCTAAAAAATAGCTCTTGATGCCAGTCACTAATGAGCATATGTTGATTAGTATCAAAAAGGGTCTGGTGGATATTATAGTAATTTCAATAGTTGAGATCATGTGTCAATTGAAGCTAGACCACCATGAGAAACCTGGAAACACTAGATGGCTGTTTCGTCCTATTATGGAACTCCTCAACAGTGCGCATCCACGATCCCGCACTAGGGATGACAGCAACTGTATTAAGCGATTGTTAAAAGTGTTGAAAAATGGGGAGTTTAAAGTAATTTTATTCTGTTACGAGTTTTGAACAAATGGCTCATTTAGATTGAAAGATTTTGAATATTTAAAAATTTATGGCATAATAATTGACGGAGTTCATTACTTTCGTTCGACCAAATGGTATATTCAAGGAATTTATCAATAAAGTAAGTACATAATCTTTAAACGTTAATGTTGAGAGTATAGTATTATTAATCTCATAGGAAAGAACTTTTGAACATCTCTGTATATTTTACCATTTGTCATTCGTTGATTGGTAAGCTTTAATCATTTACATAAGTAATATCTTATCAACTAAGCTTGGTAGTCTCGATTCAATGTACATCAATGTCAGTTTAACATGTTATATGCGTAAACGTTTTCTATAAGACTGAAGAAAAAACTTTACCATACAAATTATTCACTGAACAGTGATCCATATCTTCCGTGTATTGACATTCTGTCCGCCAAGAACATGTAGTAAAACCACGATAAAGTCATCCACAAAAAATATAAAAGTTTACATAATTAGATCATTTAACTTTCTGATTATTACCACTCTCCAGTTGACTTCGACAGACATTTGACCCTATAATTGGTCGAAAATCGATAATTATGTCTTTTTTTAGCAAGTGAATATGACTTGCTAGTATCAGATCTAAAACTGAAGGATTATAATGTTTTTACTCTTTGATATTAAATAAGTTCTATGTAACTACTGAAAGCAGCATGAATGTATTTTGTAACGAACCAAATAAATGTTTGATGAATAGAACAGAACTCTTAAGAGGATCGACAAAATCAATCTGATCAAATAATAGATAAGTATACGTCTTATAATAGTTTAAGCATATATTCTTAAAACTGTAGTGACTTTACTCCGTTGATCAATCACCTTCGTAACCGTTATTATATAAATCTCAAAGGTGTTTGAAATCAAAAGGCAATGAGAAGCGACAACTACAGTTTATAAAAGGATAGCGCAGGTCATAAAGCTATAAACATATCAAACAAATTTGAAGTGGAGAGGTGAATAAGTATATGAGAGTAACTATATAGGCAAATTGATAGTCAAATTACATAAGGGTGCAGCATGGCAAAGCAAAGACTAACAATAGCATTTGATTACATATATACATATGGAGGAGAATGAATCATTGAATGATAGTTAAACAATCAACATTCTAGTTAGAGTCTGTCATGCGATCTAGTGACCATAACGGTACAAAGAAATATGTGAATTGTTATTGTTCAAATAACATTGTCTGTTAAGTAAGTTAGTAAGAGGACTTAACCGAAATGAACCATAATCGAAATTGTTTTTATAGGATAGTTGGTACAATACAAATTGTCAAACATTGATTCAGTTTTATGGCGAAATGAATGGGTTTTAGGTGAATAGGAGAAGTAGAAACTTGATTGTGTGGAATGACATGCCGAATGTATAAAACTTTCTACAACAGTCTATGAAGTTGATTGACCAAGTTGGTTGTAGGATAGTTGCCATAAAATCTTTTAAAGTTGGTTTCTGTGGACAGCTAACCGTCACTGTAGCGAACAAATGATAGTAGTGATTTTATTTCGTGATCAGATTGTGGTAAACCATCTCAAAGAGTCAAACAGTTAATTGCAAAGTAATTCGCATGGAATAGATATCCAGAATACGACAATTTTGCTTACGGTATAGAGTTACGAATACTATACTTATGTGTTATTGCATACTGGATTGAAGCAATGGATCTAAAAGATAACTCACTAAGCGTTTTGAAGGGAAATTTTAATTTTATTCGAAGTCTGCGCTGCCATAAGGAATTGAATCCAAGTGTAATGCATCTGAATTTTTAATTTAACGCACAATAGTTGATAAGAGTACGCGGTGTGGATTGCTGCTGGTCCGATTCCGACATAATTTTATTCTTTCTGGGAACATTACTCGCAATAAACGTTTAGTATTCTAGGATTGGTTAGACAAAAATGTACACATTAAAATATAACCAAGAAGTCACCGAAACCTAGTAATCTGTATTGAAACGTGTTATGAGAAAGAAAAGTTCACAAGTTCACTACTGCTTTAAACCTAAATAACACCTTATCGTTAATAGAAAAATTGAAATTTGGAAAATGTTCACCAAAAAGAATCTATCCGAATTTCTCATTGTAAAGATCCGACTTCCATTTTGCGCACTACACGGTGACCTAGCTGAGCTCCATACTAACACGGATTTGTATTTGATTCAATTCATACGGAGGAAATGATTACACCACCTTAGGATCATTTCCATACAGAAAAGAGTTGCTTGTGCAAAACAACTTTAAATATTATTTATCTGGACTATGAAGAAAAAAGGATTCAAAACACTACTTTGTAGTACAACATTTGTGATCGAGACAGCATCCAATAAGGAGAAGTTTGTATTAACTAGTTGGTATTAGTGACTGAGAAAAAAATCAAGTCAAAAAAGTGGATCTGTGATCCATATGTTTGCTCATTTCATTCTCTTTCCTAAAAACAAGAAAACTCTTTTTCAATGTCCAGTTTTCACTTTTCGTGCTTGCATGCTACTAGGATAATGAAAGTATTATTGTGTACAAGTCATTTAACCTATCTATTCAACTTAGATACCGATCAATATTAATAGTGTCTCCTCGTTTATCTTAGTGACCTAAACTCATGGAAATCAATAGTTTAGTTCTTTCTTTAGTTTCTATACTTAAATGAAGCTTTTTATGACACATGTTATGTAGCCTCTACATTTTATTCCCTCTCTATTTAGATTTCACTATTTTTATTATTTAGGGGTGATTTTTTTGGATCAGGTTCTTTGTATTTCACTGTTAAACTTTACATAAATTAATGATAATCAGTGATCAATTTTAACAATCATACAAGAGCTTATTAAAAATTGCTTCTAAGAGGATGAGAGAAATATGATTAAGAGTTTGTCTTTTGAACATTTCGACTAATCATTTAAACAATATGATAATGTTAAGGTTTAATAGTTGAATTAATCAGTCAATTGAAGCTAGACCACCATAGAAAATCTGGAAGCATTGGACGGTAGAGTTCAACCGGATCTGTTGTGTTATAGTAATTCACTGATGACAATGATGGACAGTGGTGCAACTTTGTGGATTGGTTTAAGTTAGACACCACCACCGTTGGATGCCGGCCAACTCAGTGGTCTAGAAGTTAAGCGTTCGCGTGCAAGACTGGCAAGTCCTGGCTTAGGATCTCGCGAGTCGGGATTGTGGATGCTCAATTCCACGGAGGAGTCCCACAATAGGACGAAACAGCCATCCAGTGTTTCCAGGTTTTCCATAATGGTCTAGCTTCAATTGACTCATGAGTTTAACTATTAAGTTATAAAATCATACAATTGCATTATAGTCACAGCTAAATTTGGATTTACTATGAGGATCAAAAGCTTTTATGAAATCCTCTCTTACACTATTCAGGTTGTTAGACAAATTTTTATTTTATTCGTTGTCTTGACAATTTGTCGTAATTTTTGGAATTAGCTGTTGTAATTCTCATATTTGTACATGAATTCATGTTATAAAATCAATTGAAAACAGTCATTTTTGTTTAAGCTTCTCAACTATGAATAAACATCAGTGAAGAAAACTTTACAATATCAGCTACCTTAAAAACCATTTTCAGTAAGACTATAACTGATAGACGACCTTCGAGAGACGCCAAAATGACCTTGAGAGTGTCCACTTAATAACCAGGACTAAATGAGGGTTATAAGACAATTAGAATTTTCATTTACAGTTGATGGTTAGGGTTAAAAACTAGATTTAGGGTTTTCATCACGAACTGACTTCAGCTAAAATGTCAAAACTCTATTTAGCCAATTGTATGAATGAATTTCGCGCTAAAATCCGAGACCTGTTATCATATACGTGATTGATTCGTCTATAAATTATAGTTTCTCCATTGTTGTTAGGATATCATTTAATATAAGAGTTCGACATACGTATTTCCTTCTATTTATGAATGATTGTATTCTCTCTATAAAATTTTGATGAAACTAAACTAACCAATATTTAGTCAATACACTATTTCGTCCTAGTATGGGACTCCTCAGCAGTGTGCATCCGCGAACCCGCTCTCCGCGGGATTCGAACCCAGGACCTACTGGCTTCGCGCGCGAGCACTTAACCATTAGACCACTGAGGAGAACTTCTTGGAGTTATAGTGAGAAGCTGTCACCAGTGGAGTTCAACCAGGTCTGTTGTGAGATATCAGCTCACTGAAGACAATGGTGTTCGGTGGCGCAACTTCGTGGATTGGTTGAAGTTAGACATTAATACCGCTGGATGCCGGCTCAGTGGTCTAATATATTATTTGTAACAAACTGTTATCTCCTATAGAATCGTTTAAATCTTTCTTCTTCATAGAGAACTTCGCATAAGTTTCCATATAAGATCCAGCATGAGATAGATTGTTACCAGATATCGTTATGATGGAGATCAATAAACAATTTAGCGATCTATATAATCAATTTCCCTACTTAATTGGTTCTCTGTAACAGTACACAGTATGAGAGCAAAATGTGTCATAGAATTATGACTTGGTATTTACGAAAAGAAACAAAACCCAATGAACTGATGATTTATGTAAACGATATAACTTGTCACTAGTGTAACAAATTCATTCTAAATCATCTCCATGTATGAATTACTTTCGCTGTAGATTTTCTAGACTCTGAAATAATCTACCACAATCTATCTGTACGATAAAATCACTCTCATTCTTTGTTCGCTCCATGGATGCATACTGCTTCTCTGAAAATGCATGAAATATTCTACCACCTGTAAGTATATCTTATTCCACAAGTGAGATTAATGAATTCCCTATGTAAAACCACATACCTGCTCTCACTTTATGTTAACACTGTCCCTAGCAATCTTAACTAATTTGTATAATATCTTACATTAACAGTATATGACTATGTCACATGACACATGCATTGTGTCAGACCTGATGAACATTATTTTGATAGTTAATGCTTTGTTGTTCTTAGTATTGTTTGGCTTGTATCTTCCCATTGAGGTTCAAGACTGCAATTGATCAGTTTGTTATTGGAATATGTGCATACTGTGCATATGCCTCGATATTACCCTAATGCACAAGCTTTTTGTAAGCAATGATGGATAGTGTCTAGCAGTGGAATCCGGGACGTGCGTTTCATCGTATTTGGGACTCGTCAGCTGGATGTACCTGCATCTCAGAGTTGATGTTTACTGTGGGACTCCGACCTAGTAAGCGTTCACGCGCGAGACTGATAGGTCTTTGCTTCAAATCCCGAGAAAGGAATCGTGGATGCGGACTGCTAAGGAGTTCCATACTAGGAGGAAACAGCTGTCCACTGCTTCCAGGAAGAATGTATTTTTAAAAATCTCAGCGAATGGATTTCAAGTAAATCCAACGTTTCGCTTGGCAATTTGGTCCAACCTTTTCCAAGAAAATATCGAATCAGAATTATCGAATGTAAATAAGTGCATGGTTCTCTGGTTCATTGTATCCTGAATAGGTCATCTAATCAGTGTTAACAACGTTTAAATTAAGTGTTCACTTTAGCGTGTGAAATGGAAAATGCTCAGATAACAGACTGTGTATATACATGAGAAGAAATTTCATTGAGAAAAAATACGGTGGTTATACTGTATTGACCTACTTTTATCAAGAGAATGCGATTGATTTAATGGAAACAATCATTATTATAATCAATTGTACCAGTGATTGTTTTACTGTGGTCGTTTGTTTAACTGTGCTAAAGACAGCCATATTACTGCTCCATTACTCTCCATTACTTTTCAGCGGATTGTGACCTCATACTCTTGCCCGCTAGTCCCACTTGTACTCGGTATTCGTTCGATACCACAAGATCGCCAACGAAATAAACTTGGTTCCAATCCATATTCGCCATCTGATTTGTTTGGCATGCGTTTCCCTGTAGTGGTGTTCATAGTCAACCGTGACTCGACACCACGCTACAATACTACTTACTTATACACACAATCTATTATCTTAACACTTCGCTTCATCCTACATATCTCTTACACACCAAAGCAAACACCTAGTTTAAACATTGTTAACACTGATTGGATGATCTATTCAGGATACAATGAACCAGAGTACCATGTACCCTTATTTATATTCAATAATTTTGATATTTGATTCTATATCTCCTTGAAATAGCCTGAACGCATATGTCAAAATGAAACGTTGGATTTACTTGAAATTCATTCTCTGAGATTTTCCTCTTTAATGTCTCACATCCAATTGGAGCCCAGATACTATGAAACGATTTCGATCAAATTTAAACAAAAGTTCTTATTTATTATGATTATTTTGAATGATTCTTTAAAATTTATATGAAATGAACAAGATGAATAGAATGGTCGTCTAGGAACTAGTTTCCAATCAACCCATCTATCGGTAATATTGTCAACTTTATTCATCAAAAAATTGTTCTTAAAAACAAAATAGTAAAAATGTATTTACAATTATGAATATAAACAACACATAGATTGTTATATTGAAACGATTAGACTGATGTATATCTATCTATCTAGATAGATAGATGTGCCTAGTCTTACAGTGTAGTTGACTGATTAACTAACTAACTAACTAACTCATTGAATGATATTAGTTTAGGTGTTTATATGTACTTTTATGTCATTTAATTATTCCCCTTAGATATTGAATAATTTTTGAATCACGTTTAATAATCATAACCCATAACGAATATAAATAGTCCATAGAAACTAAATATTGAATTTGACAATGAACCATCTAAGATTATTATTCTATATAAGTTGTACATTATATTTTAATTGTTTTATACAATCTACAATGACTTATACAATTCAACAATCATCTATGAATCATATTGATTTAAAAGTGGATGAAATTGACGAACAAAACAATCTATGGAAGAATCAAGTTCAACATGATAATGAATCACAATCATTGATGATAAGTCCAGTAAGATTTGGTGTTTGGAAAAAATCCAGACGTAATGGTAAACATAAACGTAACAGACATCGTCGAAAACTTAACCGTCATAAGAAAATTTTACATTATCTATAAAATTATGTGTACTAGATGAAATTTATTTTGAACTTAAATATTATTTACTACTTAAATAAAGTTTCATTTTTATACATTGAATAATCACGATACTACTTGTAAGTTTGAATATATATATGTATATGGTAAATGAGAATATCATATGTATGTTTGATCTGCTATTCCCTATGTTGAACTATTATTGATAAAAAGTTTGGCTATTGTACTTTATTATACTTACTTACTATCCGTACATCTATCCTCCTCCTCCTCCTCCTCCTCCTCCTCCTCCTCCTCCTACTACTACTACTACTACTACTACTACTACTACTACTACTACTACTACTACTACTACTACTACTACTACTATTACTATTATTACTATTATCAATTTATGTTTCAACATATTATGTTCAGTGACGTAATCTATTATATTTGAGATGATGGACTCAAATTGCCTTGATTGATTTAACATTATCATATAAATATTCATGTATATTATTTAAACAATCATTTCATTTGAAATTTCTACTTAGTAACTATCATTTTATGTTTCTTAAATGTTTCACTTTATAGGGGTTATCTTTGTGAGAGTGATTTGTTTAAATAAACAATCATCATTTATTGAATATTTTTGAATTCATAAAAAAATTGAAAATTGATTGTCTTTTAGTGGTCTAGAGGGTAAGCGTTCACGCGTGAGACTGATAGGTCTTTGGTTCGAATCCGGAGAGAGAGATCGTGGATGCGTACTGCTGAGGAGTTCCATACTAGGAAGAAACGGCTGTCCACTGCTTCCAGGTTTTCTATGGTAGTCTAGCCTTCATTGTCTCATGAATTCAACTATAAAACGTTTAAAAGTCAACATTTGGATGCTAATATTGTACCGTAAATTCTTTTTAAATATGACATTAGTCAAATCAAATGATCTCATTTACAATAAAATGAGAAGTGGATGAAAATTTGAAACTATATACTTAATATGTATTAGAGTAGCTGATCACCAAGCAGTAACCACTGTGATTTTCTCTAGTTTTAAGTATCAGTGTGATCGAATTACCCAAGTCTACCGATTACGAAGAATCTTTTAGCACTTAACAAAGCATTCTGTCAGTGGATAGAGAGTCAATCAATAAACTTCGAATAGCCAAAATATAGTAGATTACAAAGTAAATAAATCATTTATGCTTCTCAGTCTTACAGAAGGTAACTTACGACCTCAATAGGTCAACAAGAAGTATCACATTCTTCTTCCTTCAAATAAACAAAAACTGGACTACGTTAAAACAAACTTTAGCGTCAATTTGTTCTTATTATACTAGTTTTTAGTGAATTTCTTAGTTTACAGAAATCCAGATTGATATTTTTATACAAAAAATTCCTTGAATCTGAAGCAAACAAATTTAAGATTATGAAGTGATACTTGGCACTTTCAATCAAACTTTTTAGAGTTTCCCTTACAGTATAACAATATCAGAATTAGAATTTCCACTCAAAAGACTACAAGATTTTGTGTCCAAATCCTGCGAGACAAATTGTAGACATGTACTGGTGAGAAGTTCCATAATGAAATGAAACACCCATCCAGTACTTCCAAGTTGTCGATGGTACTCTAACTTCAATCGATTCATGATCTCAATCAAAATACAAAATCTTTGTAAAATTTCCAGATTTATTTATATCTCCATGAATAAAAGGTTAAAGTGATACTTCTTTTTCATGATAATGATCTTGTAGTACAAAGTAAAAACAAAAACATCTCCTGTTGAACATGCAATTTTTTTGTTTCTTATCTCAGTTAGACGACGATTTATTCCGTTGAAATGAGTCAGACCTACAGTAATCTTGTATATTCTTTACTTTAATCAAGTTTCAAAAAAGGATTTCCGTGATTCTTTTTTTCTTTCTTTCTTAATCTTAAGTTCATTCGTTTTTCATAAACATTTTAAGTAGACAATTTTAATCTAATCAACAAACAAACTAAAAATCTTATTCTGTGACTTCATTAAGTGTTATAAAGAAATATTTATGGGTAATTTAAGTTTTGTTCACCAGGGTGCTTGGTACCTCTGTGGTTGCACCACAGGAATGAGCTGTACTATCCAGATTGTAGCGTTAAAGCCTATATGGTGTCTGGTTCTTCTGCTAAGCGGGGGTGAGCCTTACTGTTTGGTTTATCACGTGAAAGTCCGGATGGTGTCTGGTTCTCCTGAAAACCAATGTAAAATTACCCTGGCCCACAAAGGTATATTATTATGTAACTACTTAGTTACTAGAATATTCCTAAATTTGGACGAATTATGATGGATGATATGGTGGTATAGAGAATGACTAGAAATTAACAAATACGATTTGAATCGAAGCTAATAGTTTGTAAAGTTTCAATTTAAGGTTGTCATTAATAATATTATAAAGGATTTCTGATGCTTCGTTATTCGATCACTTCGATAACCGTTATCATATAAATCTCAAAGGTGTTTGAAATCAAAAGGCAATGAGTAACGGCAACTACAGTTTATAAAAGGATAGCGCAGGTCATAAAGCTATAAGCATATCAAACAAATTTGAAGCGGAGAAGTGAATAAGTATATGAGAGTAACTACACAGGCAAATTGATTGTCAAATTGTATAAGGGTGCAGCATGGCAAAGCAAAGACTAACAATAGGATTTGATTACATATATACATGTGAAGGAGAATGAATCATTGAATGATAGTTAAACAATCAACATTCTAGTTAGAGTCTGTCATGCGGTCTGGTGATCATAACGGTACAAAGAAATATGTGAATTGTTATTGTTCAAATAACATTGTCTGTTAAGTAAGTTAGTAAGAGGACTTAACCGAAATGAACCATAATCGAAATTGTTTTTGTAGGATAGTTGGTACAATACAAATTGTCAAACATTGATTCAGTTTTATGGGGAAATGAATGGGTTTTAGGTGAATAAGAGAAGTAGAAACTTGATTGTGTGGAATGACATGTCGAATGTATGAAACTTCTTATAACAGCCTATGAATTTTATTGACCAAGTTGGTTGTAGGATAGTTGCTATAAAATCCTTAAAGTTAGAAAATTTTTGATGAGAGTGATTTCGTGTGAATGAAACGATCGATTATTTCAAGAACAATTCAAACTCTCAAATTGATGGGAGTGATTCACATGATCTATATCTACGGTTGGTGAATATCTCACAGCCAATAACTCATTCATTCAACTAACTTTCCATCAATAAGTATAATGTAATGTGCCAAGGAGTCACAAAACGTCAGTCTTGTTATTAAGTTTCATTTTAATGTTAGTTATCAGATTTTAAACATTTGAAGTAAATGACTCTTTGATTATTTGGGCTGTCTACTCCGGTCATCTGGATATTTCAACAAATCTGTTTTCTTGATTGTTTTAACACATCATTAGACCTAGACGAAATAAAATGAATTCATGTTATTCTGCTAGAATCTTTCAGTTCTTGCTCTTTTCAAAATGATAAAGGGAACTATGTGTATGAAATATCTTATATGTGATTAGTTCGTCCATAACTTTATCATCTTCCCCAATGTTACTATACAAACATTCTATTCTTAAGCATAAGATGAAGTCATCAAAAGACAGCAACAAAAAGAAAGAACACAAACGATGAACTCATCATGGACAAATTTATATTTAACTCAATAAACTAATAACAAGTAACATTTATTTATTTTTGTTTATTTCTAAAATACATTTATCGTCTGATTTTTTTTTACTTTTTTCTTTCTGATTAACTCTATCATAGTTTTCTTCTATTTTATTAAAATGTTGCCCCCCAAAAAAAGGAATTAGCCACGCAAAAATAAATAATCTCGTTTATTTTGATTGGATAGAACAGCTATATTAAGGGAGAGAAAAGAGAAAAATAAACAACGATACATGCAATATATTACTTATTATAATAAGAAATGAGTAGTTATGCAAATATTGAATTTAAGATTATACTGATATTATTGTTGTTGTTGTACCAAAAGCTATAGACGATTAATATATGATGTAATAATGAAGAGTCTAGAAACAGGAAGAAGAAATACTGTAAATAGTGCAATCACCAAACATCTCTTTGATACAGGACATCAAGTAAATAGATACTTTGCAATCCTTTAAGGTGATTAGTAAGTAACCAAACTCCAGTCTTCTGAAGTTTACTGACACCGTTGCTATCAGTCATCAAAAACTTGATTTATGTGTTCAAAAGGAGATGGTTATTAAATCTTTCCTTGCCTTGGTGACTGATATTCCTTCGCTGTATCTTGATATTTTTTTCTCTAAACTCTTTCTTGCATTTATTACAACATCATCGAGTTTGATTTCAACTATCTTCCAAGTTAATAATCTTATCCTATCAACTGAGCTCTACTCGCTATAGTCCTATCAACGTTTACTTATTATGTAATCACTTGTATTCTGGCCGTTTGAACTGTTGTCACAATCAATGTGGTAGAATGTTGTTCTTTCACATAAGATATATATTTACGACATTCAGTCTTTTAATTATATTTACACCCTTGCTATACTATACGAATATGTCTTCAATATAATTTCCAACCAAACTCTTTCATGTAAGTCATTTAAACTCATTATATAATTATGATTTCTAAATAGCACAGGTTGTAAGCAACTGATAAGAATCAAATGGAATAAAAATGAATTCATACTATTCTACTAGAATCCTTTTGTTCTTCCTCTTTTCAAAATGATAAAGGGAACTATGTGTATGAAATATCGAAGAAGTTAGAATTATACCTGTAATTGACAGTTTTATTATTAACTGTTCAAATAAGTACCATAACCATGTTCATCACAAATGAGCTTAGATGTGCTTTTCTCATTAATTGAGTAAATAGAATAATCAGCAGATGTAGCTGTAACATAGACAACTAATTCAGTTCACATCACTTGACCCGTTTTAAAAAAATGGGTTTATTTTAGAATTCAACACACTTATAGACAGATGAGACATTAGAAATCTAAAATCTTCATCAAATGTTATGAATTTCAAATAAATGAATCTTAAATGTTTCATACCCATAGTTCGCTTTATCATTTTGAAAAGAGGAAGAACAAAAGGAGTCTAGTAGAATAGCACGAATTCATTTTTATTCCATTTGATTCTCATCAGTTGCTTACAATCTGTGATACTTAAGAATCATAATTACATACTGGGTTTCAATTAATTACATGAAAGAGTTTGGTTGTAAATTATATTGAAGACATAATCGTATAGTATAGCAAGTATTTGAACACATAAATATTAGTACAAGAGGGCACCAAATATATATGTGCCACACCATACTTCTGTGTGTGTGGGCTGTGATACTGCCCGGGTGCACACACGGAAGCAGGTGGTTTTCTTAGGGCGCCATACCCCGAGCTTTTGACCCGAAGGTTCAGCCCACAAGGCAGTGGAGCATCGTAAGGAGCTGCAGTCCCATGGTCGTCGGTGACCGAAAATTGGTTCATACGCCATTTGTTCCCTCAGGATACTGGAGCCCATATGCAACATTGGTTTGGGATCCGGTTAAAGCGCCGGACATTCGCTTTTCGTCCTCTCATTTTCGTAAACAACAGCAATGCCACGAGAAGGCAGTGAGTAAGACTTCCCCGGCAGAGGCTGTATACGCGTGACCGTGTAAGAGCATTTCGAGAGGGAGGGCGGGCCCACTTCACTCTCGGCCGTACCAGGGCATTTAGGGGCGTTTATAGCAAGTGTCCGCCTGGAGTCCCTCCGGGGGCTACTGCCGGTCCCAAGCCCGGATAAAGAAGGAGGGTTTGAGATGGGGTTAGCAACCCCATCCCATAGAAAACTAACTCGCTAAAAAAATGCTAACCAGAAAAAATTATTCAAACCTTTTAAACTCTGCCCTGGGAATCAGAAGGTTTTCATTTAGAAGAACTATGACGCCTCATGATAAAAGCCGATGCCCCTTTTGACAACCAGAGCAACCATTTATTTAGGTACATGGAATACTCGTACTATGTGGGAGACTGGGAGAGTCTTCCAAATTGCTGCAGAAATTACTTAAAATATGACTTCTGTTCTGATTTTCACCATTAACCACTCTTCAAAAAAGATATAATTAAGTGACCCATCTAAGAAGACCACATATTATCAAAGACTGATTGATTCAGTTATAACAATCAATAGCAGTGAAACGAAAACCTTCACAACTATTATCCGGATCCACCTACTGATTAACAGGCTTATTACAATCAATGGACGTATATCATTAATATTTATGTTCATATTATGTACAAAACCTTAATAGCTACATTCAAAAAGATATTTGTACAAATAAAATACATTGTGAATTGCAAAGGTTTTAGTAGTCTAGTTTTCTGATCTTGAAATCTACACTTTAGAATTTGTAGCTCTCCCATGTCCTTAGTCCCTTCGTAGAGTTTGTACTCGACAGTCATTGAATAACACTTTTTCTAAAAACTTGTTTATTACTTATAATTAGTTTATTGTTATCAGCTTCAAATGGTTCACATCGTTCTGACCGTTTTCACATTTATCTAATCACTAATGATCATTCATACTGTATACAGTATATATACAATACAATAGGGAAAACATCCATTTTGGGATCAGATTATTAACTGAACAATCAAATTAGATTTCCATTAAGTGTTTAGATAGTGACACAATTCTCTTGTGATATTAGCCATTTACAAACCGTTTATAATCCGATTAGTTTCTATATTATTAAACTATCTGTTAATTGACTATTAAAAAAACAGTTGCATAACTTCATTATGTATCACAATTTACAAAAAGTGTCTACCATTTCATATCCATTTACTCACAGAATTTTCGACGATCAAATGGTTCCTCATTTTCTTCAGGATAAAACTGAAAAGAAAAAAAATGTAATATTATTACAATATATATATATTTTAACTTTGCCTGTAGCTCTTCTAGAGTTACTACCGGTTCTATGCCCGAATAAAGGAAAAGGTTTGGTCATGAGGTTGGTAACCCCATCCCGTAGAACAAAATCTTACTATAAAAAAAACGCCAACCAGATAATCTTTAATAAGGACGTCAAGACAGTTCTACTAGTATATGGAATTGAGACTTGGACAACTACTGCAAGGATCATCAAAAAGGTACAAGTATTTATGAACAGTTGTCTATTCAAGATACTCAATGTCCGTTGACCGGATACCATCAGCAATAGCCTACTGTAGGAGAAAACAAACTAATTTCCAACTGAAGAGAAAACTAGGAAGTGGATAGGGCATACGGAAATAACCAAACTGCATCACGAGATAAGCGCTAACTTGGAATCCTGAAGAGAAATGGATAAAGAGAAGGTCAAAGAACATATTAAGTCGGGAAATAGAAGCAGATATGAAAGGGATGAATAGCAACTGGGAACAACTGGAAAGGACTGCTCAGGACAGGATTGGATGGAAAATGCTTGTGGGTGGCCTATGCTCCTCCACGAGGAGTAACAGGCACTATGAAGAAGACAATACATACTCCTCATTGATGTAAATGAAAGGTAGAATTTGTTAAAGAATGGGGGCGGGAGGAAAAAAATTTTATTCAAACATTATCAAATGGGTTAATTAAGTCATACACTGGAATTATTTGTGTCAAGTATCTATGACTAATTTTAATCAAGAAACCACATTAATTTGTGTATGATTCTCAGTAAATCCCATCTATGGAACATCTTAGTTATAAAGCTTATGTGTATAAAAGTTGTGAGGGAATGAATTTGAATAAATGTTGAAATATTTCATCACTGTCAACTGGTCAACTCGATTGCTCCTCTTATCTTCATATATTGTTATTATTATTAATGGCTTTAGATAGTGGCTGGAGGTAATCGACAGGAAACCCTGGACCCGGGTTTCGTGATACTTGTCACTCATCAGCAAGGTGTACCTTTAATCTTGAGGGAGATGGTGTTCCCTGGCGGATTCGATCTCGTGTCACCCAGCCTCACAGTCAGAGACGTTACATTGCCACAATGCAACATGGTCGATAGCATTCGATTTGCACTAATAAGGACTAGACACGCATGACATTGATCGCCACCCAGTGATCAATCAATTGTGATTAGTGGCTTTATTCAATATTATATCTTTGGTACAATAGAGAATTCTCAGCACAAAGTATTTTAACAATTTTCCTTTTCTTATTTCTTCATCTACGCTAACGATAATATATTGAATGATCACCAGCTAAATGTTAGCAGTCTAGTCAATCAACATCCGAATAATATTCATTCTTTTCGCTGGATATTGCCAGCCACCACAATGTCTTTGATTGGGCCTTTTGTAACTTGTACAACGAAAGGTTGTACACTTTTCAGAAACTCACTTGAATAGGTTATGCGATTAACAAGCATGATGATGTATTTTGAGATGGTGGGGAAGATTTGTAGCTCAGGTGGATGATTTTGATGGAGCACAAACTTCAGATAGACTTCCATCTCAAGTTTGTGCTGACGATGTCGTTCAGAAGAACGACGAAAGCTCCATGACCAAACCATCCAGCTCAGAAGACAAAACTCCATCAAAATAATGATGTATTAAAACAAACAATAGATGGCTTTTTGAAACATCGAGATGGCAAGAACAAGGAGCTCAGATGTTCAAGTAGGCCGTCATTGATATATATAGTAATAAGAATTAAATGATTTTATTTAACATAGATAGATATAAAACTATCTCATGTAAGTGAAGGATAAGAGGAGTGGAATAAAATTTGGATTTACTCTCGGATAACAACTAATGATTCTAACTGTATTACGCTGAATGTTTTTATCACACTGAAAAGTATATATACTAACTAGATTCTATCTTTTTACATAAACAATCTAGTTGATTTTCGGTGAATGTGATGATGATCATTTTAACTAAAATACTCCATTGTTTTAAGCATATTTGAAAGTGAAACTATCGTTTGGTGTCTGGATCATTGAAATGCGCTTAAGAGAGTTTACCAATAATTTTAAGCTGTAATCACTTCAGTTTACCAGAATTGTACTTTATTGTTTTGTGGTATATTCTTATCCGATGTGATTTACATAAAATATGAAAGTACCAGGGTAAAATTTGCTGTTGATGTATGGTTAAATGAACGCCTGGAGCCTTCGAACTAAAGGTTTGATCCACAAGGCAGTAAAGCATCGTATGGAGATGCAGTCCCATGGTGGCCGGTGACCGACGATTCGTTCATACGCCATTTGTGGACTGTCTATGTCCACCAACCCAGTTAAAGCGCCGGACATTCGCTTTTCGTCCTCTCAATTTTGTAAACAACACTCGTGGTGCGAGATGCCAGTGAGTAGGACTTCTCTGGCAGAGGCTATATACGCGTGGCCATTTGAGAGCATTTGGAGATTGAGAGCGGACTCTTCTCATTCTTGGCCGTACCATGATATTTGGGGGCGATCACTAAATTGATTCAAACTTTCCACAAATTATACAGAATCAATAGTTGAGCTAAACAATACACAAGCCAAATGAGTGAATCTTAGAGAAGAAAAATATTTCTCTGTCATGGTGACTAGGTAAAGAATCAAAAATCAAGATTGAAAGAATAATTAAGGTTTATGATTAACCATACAATATTTTAAAGATAATGTCAACTGCCCTTCTGATCTTCATTATGAACGTACTACACTTCTCGTTATGAACTAATCTTATTTGAAAGTTATCATTTAACTGGTTCTCAACGGTTACTTTTTTCCATCCTCAATGCGTTATTATTTACACTTAAAAGAAATAACAACGAAAACTTGGGAAAAAAATTTCCTCTTGATTGTGATAACATTGTGACCAACGTCAAAAATTTACGGAGATATTTCTTATAGTTTACTGCTAAGAATAATTCAACATTATTAAGCCGGTTTATTTTACACAAGTTTTATAATTCATGAGCGTATCCAGAACTTACTATTTCAATTGTTTTACTAAGTGCTGAGGTGCGCGCTACTTATATTGATATAAGTAGTATATTATACGAGTCAGGAATGTAATGTCTGGCAACAGAAGATGGGAGAGGATCAAGAAAGCAAGAGCGGGAATAGAATACAATTTTTATGAAAATGCAAAAACAATAAAGTCTGAGGTATTTTGAGACAAGTAGTGGAGATTTTGCAAATTAACAATTTAATATATGGTTCTCAGATTTTATTGAGATGCTCTGTAATTTTGCTTTCCCACTTGTGTTCTTGTTAGTTATTTCAAAGGCAACTTCAACGTATTCGTCTTACTCATACACAGCTGTGCAGATATTTCAATAAATCTCCCTGTTTTGTACATGTTTGAATTGAATAACTTTGAATTGTATCTTTATGAAATCAGACAGTTTTGGGAATAGTTTAAAATTGTAACTAATTCAAAATATCACGTTCGCACTTCTAGTTGTGATAATCGAATTGTCTTAATCTCATGACAGTGTTATTGCTTGTTATCATTAGATGCTTTATTGTGAAATGTTTTCGTATACACGATATTCTGCACGTCTATCGGATTGCCCAAAGTATCTCTCAGTTAGACACAAAGCAATATAATAACTCGTCAAGATTTGTAATACTAAAATCTTAAGCTTAAACACTGCACTTACTAGCGTAGTTTCCTTCTTATCTATCATATGAATATACATGAGAGGAATATATTAGAATTCATGCATTTAATAGCTGATCAGAGGGAAGAATAGTTGTACTACTAAAAAGAATTGATAACAATGTTTCTCTACTAAAAATGACTAGCGGATACTGAGTATTGAGAAAAACATTTATAACACATCATCTTTAATTCACTTGGTATTGTTTGGCTTGTATCTTCCCATTGAGGTTCAAGACTGCAATTGATCAGTCTGTTATTGGCATATGTGCGTATGCCTCAATATTACCTTAATTCACAAGCTTTTTGTAAGCAATGATGGATAGTGGCTAGAATGTAATCCAGCCTGACGCGCGTTTCGTCCTATTTGGGACTTGTCAGCTGGATGTGCCTGCATCTTAGAGTTGATGTTCACTCTGTGACTCAAACCCAGTACCATTCGCTTCAAACGCTATCGCGTTATCCACACAGCTTTAAGTTATTGCAATTTGAATTAATGTGAAGAGAAATCTTTTTGTATGACTGCACAACTGTTGCTATAGTAACAAATAAAGTAATTATTATAACTATTATTGTCGATCTGTTATTCGTGACATTAGGTCGAGTTAAAGGTATGAACAGTTGATCAACGTAACTAAAATCTGTTAACTCTATAAAAGACTTCATCAGAAACTTACCTGTTGACGTAAAAAAATACTATTCAAATATCGATTAAATTCACGAAGTCGATCCATAGTTTTCTTTTTATTTTGATCATTTAATAACCATATATCATCGGTATTAGTAACATCATCTACAGTTGGATAACTACTTCTTAATGTATTTAATGAATGAACTGGATAGATTGTTTGACATAAACAAAATAAGTTTAAATAAATAAACAGCTGTAAGAGATTAAGACAAATTCCTTCGGTTGATTGAAATTGTTGTTTTAAGTGAAAATAAGCCATTGAAAATTTATTTCTAAAAGAATATAAACAATAATAAAAGTTACTGAAATCAATATATAAGTAGTTTAGATAATACTGATATTATCATTTATAATGTAATTAAAATGAATGAAACATCTTGACGATTGATATTGGAGAAGATCAATCTCTTGATGGAAGTCTTCTTTTATGGGTGATCAATTCGAAAGGTGACAACTATAATCAAAAACAATTCTATCATTGCATTAACAATCGTGTACATATCGAATAAATAAGTACTTCCATTAAAGAAAAGTATGATCACCATACTTTCGAAGTTATATATTCACATCTTTCATAGTGTATTTCATATATGAATCATTTCTAACTATTAAATGAGCTTCATTATGTCAGGAAATAGAAGCAGATATGAAAAGGATGAACTGTAAAGAGCTGGAAAGTATTGCCCAGGACAGGGTTGGATAGAGAGTGCTGATGAGTCATTTATGCTCCTCCACGAGGAGTAACAGTCATAAGTAAGTAAGTAAACGAGTTGCTGAAGATATTGTATTATAATATCTGCATTGAATTCGTTGATGACTGACTATTTAGAATACCATTAGCTGTTTTCCAGCGTCGTAAAACATACTGAGATTGGATAATACAATATTAGTTTAGTCATGACCTTATTTTTTAATTATTTTTTTCTAAAATAAACAAGTTTCTGAAATCTTTAAACTTGTTCTTGACATTTAGAAATGTTCCATCAGGAATACAAGCAAATCATAATTAGGAAACTGTCGGTACAGAGTCGACCGACTTTTAAGTAGATGCGACTGACTGACTGATATTTTTAAAGAAAACCTTATTCAGGTAAACTGTACGAATATGTTTACATAATTGTAGTTTAATATCAGTCTTTTGTTTAGACACATCCTAAAGAAACTATCATTTTGAACCAAGTAAGAACAGCATGATTTATAGTCTAGAATGCATTAATAAATCTATGCTTCACCGAGATCCTACAAGTAGTCATTTCATACGTACTTATTATTATAAAACGCATCTAATGAATAAACTGTTATAATGCTTCTGAATGAAAATAATTTCTGGATTGAGATCATGAACCGATTGATGTTAGACCACCATGGAAAACCTAGATGCACTGGACGGCCATTTCGTCCTACTGCGGAACTCCTCTGTTGCACTGCACATCCACGATCCCTCTCGCGGGATTCGAACTCACGGCCTTCAGTCTCGCGCGCGAACGCTTACCCTACTGGACCACTGAGCCGGCATCCAATGGTGTTAATGTCTAACCTCAACCAATCCGCGAATCGCGCAACCATCTTCCATTATACTGAGTTAGATGCCTGTCTCTACTCGACACGAACTAGCTCCACTGGTCACAGCTTCTCACTAGAACTCCGAGAATCCCCTCACAAAGCTAGTGAGCATGATCTCAATCAAAAACGTAACAATCTCCACAACCCTATACTGATAAAAACAATTGTAATCATAGATCTACATTAGACTATTTAATTGTCTATATTGTCTTTAAAATATATTGAAGTGAATATATATGTGCTTAACAAGTCATATGCTTTTAAATAAACTAATGAAAACATATTTAGTTAGCAACTATATAATATAAGATTATAGTTGACATGGCAATTGATTTAAGAACAAAAAACGATTATTAGATTGAATTATTTTAGATAAATTAAGGAGAATCTTTGTTTGTTTGTGTTTTTATATTTTGATTAAATCCTCCATAGATTCACATTAATCCCCCCTTAAAATCAAACAAATACAAAAGTGATTTCACTTCAAACTATCCACTAATGTGATAGTTTCCCTTAGAGAGAGAGAGAGAGAGAATGTACATAATATAAGAAGACCATTCAATAATGAACTGATAAATTGACTAGAGAAAATACAAAAAAAAATTACATTCTGTAATTTTTGTAGTTCATAAATTTGTAGGGAATGTTCTTTTTTTCTTCTCCTTTTTGGAATAGAAAGAAGGGAAAAGTTCTATTTCATTAAAGATAATATGATTTGCCAATTTATTTTGTCTTTATATTCTATTAGACGTAATTTTAAGAAATGACGATGCAGATTAAGATATTCATCAGGAAAATATTCCTATAAATTGTATCTCGGTATGAAGGAGGTGAAGTGCTAGATATTGGACAGTCAGTCAATCATAAGTGACATGAAATCTATCACATATATGCAAGGGTTCAAATAAACATTCCAGAACGATGAAATGAACTAGTAAGTGTCAGAGATTGTGGCAATGATGAGATACACAGAATGCAATTTAAGAAGAAAAAAAGGATTAAAAATTATAAAATAAGTACTTGGAAAAAAATTAATGGTGAATTCATGTAGACTGCTGTAACCGATTCTTAATTATACCACAAAATATGTATAACCGATAGTTATGACAATCGTGCCGATCACAATCAAATAGTCTGCACCTACAAACAAAGTTTAGTCCAGCCATCAGTTACTTCATAAACTAATATCAAATTTTAGTTAGACACCTTCCAGCTTTCTTCCAGAGCACCACTGATTATTATGCGTGGATGTAGACGGTTGCTTAGCGTATGGAATAGGTAATAGATATGTAAACAAGAATATAACCGTCTATTTGTCATAGAGAAAACGAAACTTTTACACATAGTAATTAAACGTTAAACGGATAATGACAAGCTGTAACAACCTGTGAATATTCTTTTCATGCTAGTTTATGGTCTTCAATAAGATTTATCTTAATTTTTAACAGAAATAATACTTTCTATGAAACTTGAACTTCTGTCATTCAGTATTATAGTTGGAAACATAATTATAAAACTATTTAGACAGTATTTGTTAACGGATACCAACCAATGCTTACAATCAATATATATATGTAATCTCGTTGGAGTCTTTTTAGCAAGATTTTTTTCTACGGGTTAGGTTCGGAGACCCCATGTCCAACCCTCCTACTATATCCGGGCTTGAGACCGGCAGTATCTCTAGAAGAGGCAAACCCTAGCTTGGAATCCTGAAGGGAAGTGGAAAAAGAGAAGGTCAAAAAAACATATTAAGTCGGGAAATAGAAGCAGATATGAAAGGGATAAATAACAACTGGAAACAACTGGAAAGGACTGTTCAGGATAAGGTTCGATGGAGAGTACTGATGGGTTGTCTATGCTCCTCCACGAGGAGTAACAGGTTTATATATATATATATATCCTAACATTTTTAATGATTTATATAATTAAATGAACTAATGATTAGGAATTTCTGATTCCTATGATTATGAAAACAAATGTGAGATGTGTTGGCTATTGAATAAATCTGTTTTGCATAAATATTCTAATAGAGTAAATTACAATTAATAAGTGGAGCGTAATAAACAACATAAATATATTTTGATGATACAACTAAGTAAATTGCCTTTTCATATTTCTATATTATTATGAATAGGTGATAATAATCTTAGGAATAGAATAAATTTACATCACTTTTATTCAATTCATTTGTTGCTGTTTGATTGGATGGTATATAAAAGTAATTTATCTGTTTACATTGAGTCAATATTATGTCCCATTAATAACTACGACTTTTTAAGGAGATAATGATGATTAATAAAACGTTCTAATGGATTCAGGTTTTATGGCAGCTAGCAGTTGTCATTGATGTTTAAAGAGTATACTTGCTTACTTACTTACGCCTGTTACTCCCAGTGGAGCATAGGCCACTGACCAGCATTCTCCAACCCACTCGTGTTCTAGGCCATCCTTTCTAGTTCTGTTCAATTGTTGTTCATTCTTCTCATGTCTATCTCCACTTTTCTTTGGTCTTCCTCTTCTTCCTAGGACTTGAGGATTCTATGTGAGGGATTGCCTTGTGACGCAGCTAGGTGCTTTCCTCAATATGTGTCCTATCTACTTCCAGTGCTTCTTCCTAATTTCTTCCTCCACTGGGATCTAGTTTGTTCTCTCCCACAGTAGGTTGTTGCTGATAGTGTCTGGTGAACAGATTCGAAGTATTTTGCATAGACAACTGTTAATAAACACTTGTATCTTCTGGATGATTACTTGCCTAGTTCTCTAAGTTTACGCCCAATACAGTAGAACTGTTTTGACATTTCTATTGAAAATTGTGAGATTGGTGTTGGTGGACAGTTTTAGGGAGTACATGTCCCCCAATATATCCGGACACATGTCATTAAGTGTCATAGGCTTATTTATATATGCATGATTATTACATTACAAACTCGATATTACTTTGAAAAAAATACGGTTCCACAGTAAATAAAACTTCCCTATGTGTATGTGTTTGTCGTGTTTATTCACCAGAATGGTTTCATTCTTTTGAATCTATACGCGAATCAACCAAATTGGTAAATTTCTCAAAATAAAGCTGGATAGCAGCTGGTAGCGAAACTAGAACGTGATTTTCTTACTACTTGGATCTCTTCACTATGTGCACCTGCATCCAGCGTGAACATCAACACTGAATTGTGAATACATTCTAAATAGTGTGAAACATGTGTTCTAGAATTTATCATTAGTCATCGTCTAACTCTACTATTTTTTTAAAAATGCTTATGATCTAATGGTAATATCAAAACAATCTGCACAGGATGTACTTACACTAAAAGAGACTGATCAATCGTAATCTTAACACATCAATGGAGAGTTGATCACAACAAATTCTTCACAGATTTTTTTTCATCTCCACTTGCTCTTTCAACTAGTTACTATGAGAACAGAATTTTTGGATTGTTTTTTTTTGCTTTCACTGTAACTAGTTTTTGTAGGTTTTTTTTTTAATTTTTCAACTGTATATCAATTATCCCCCCCAAAACGTATCATTTTTGTATCTCAATTTGTACTTCAATTTTAATTCCCTTCCCTATAGAAGTGATTTCGATGGTGATTATTATTGTTGTTTAGACTCTAGTTCTCTCAAAACACCCTTAGGCGGTAGACTTTTAAACATCATGATCATATTGTGAATAGATAATAATTAGATTATAGAATTCAGTAGTGTTAG